GTTCTAGTTCATGTAGTCTCCCAACACCCCATGAGGCAAGGCTTTGTTAGTTCCATTTTACTGAAAATGAACTAAGACTCTGAGAGATAAAGCTGTTGCCCAGTGAGCCTTCTTTCCGCCCTCCAGACCCACTGTGCTAATTCCCTCTTCTGATGACCTAATGATTCTGAGCTTGGCAAAGCTCTTATCTCCCAGCTTTCCCAGACCCAGTGTTCCAGGAATGTGACCCTTTGCTGCAGCAGCTGCTGGAGGAGGGCAGAGGGGGATGGGCTGGAGGTTGAGCAAACAGAGAGGCAGAAAAGGCATTTCCTCTTCTCCAGTCCCCTCCCTCCCTGTCTCTGCCTCTCCCTCCCTTCCTCAGGCATCAGAGCGGAGTCCTCAAGGAGAGCAGAGTCCTCAGGGAGATCAGAGCCCAGCTCGCCAGCCACTGAGCTAGAAGCCCCGTCATGGCAACCCGGAGACCCCTTCTCATGCTGGCCCTGCTGGCATGGGTTGCTCTGGCTGACCAAGGTACAGGAGGGTGTTGGTGGTTGTCTGGATCTATGTAGGGTGGGCGAGGGTGGCCCGGGCTTGGCGGGACCGACTGATACCCCTTCCTTATAGACTCCTGCAAGAACCGCTGCACTGAGGGCTTCAACCCCGACAAGAAGTGTCAGTGTGACGAGCTCTGCTCTTACTACCAGAGCTGCTGCATAGACTACATGACTGAGTGCAAGAAAGGTGTGTTCAGAGCCCAGGTGGGTAGGCTTGGGTCCTCCCTGCAGCTGGAGACTCACTACCCTCCACTCTCTCTGCAGTGACTCGTGGGGATGTGTTCGTCATGCCGGAGGATGAGTACGGGGTCAGTGACTATGACGAGGAGAACAAAAACACTACCACCATGCACCCACAGCCGGGGGGGCCCTCCACGACCCCTGACCTCCAGGCCCGGCCTGAAGGGAATCCTAAGCAGCCACCTGTTATGACCTCAACCTCTGATACCCTTGATCAAGGGGCCTCTGAGACCCTAGCAGAGGAGGAGCTGTGCAGCGGGAAGCCCTTTGATGCCTTCACTGACCTCAAAAACGGTTCCCTCTTTGCCTTTCGAGGTGATTCCAGGGGCAGGTCTTGGGGATGGGGGTCTGCCCCACAAGCATCCCCACTCTCACACCACCTCCTCCACTCTAGGGCAGTACTGCTATGAACTGGATGAAAAGGCAGTGAGGCCTGGATACCCCAAGCTCATCCGAGATGTCTGGGGCATCGAAGGCCCCATCGATGCTGCCTTCACCCGCATCAACTGTCAGGGGAAGACCTACCTCTTCAAGGTGCCAGGGGCTGTGGGTCAGGGTAGAAAGCATGTAGGAAGGGTTTGAGAGCTATTGCTCCCAGGGACAGGGTGGATAGGAAGGCCAGACCTGGGCCCTGCAGGACTTTGTGGGGGCTCTGTGAGCACAGGGCAGTCCCAAGACTCCAGGTCCTGGGCAGTGAACCTGGAGCTGGGAACGGCTGCCTTAGGGCAAGAGACTCTGCCTCATGCCCAGTCAGCACCCGCCATACCTCCTTTCACCTTCCCTATCTCTTAGGGTAGTCAGTACTGGCGCTTTGAGGATGGTGTCCTGGACCCTGGTTACCCCCGAAATATCTCTGACGGCTTTGATGGCATTCCAGACAACGTGGATGCAGCCTTGGCCCTCCCTGCCCATAGCTACAGTGGCCGGGAGCAGGTCTACTTCTTCAAAGGTACTCAGGGGGTGGATGGGAGTCTGGGCAGGTTTCGGAGCAGTCTCAGATTCCTTTCACACTTCACTGGGGACAGGCCTAAGCCTGTGCCTAACCCCTCCCCCACCTCATGTTGGGAGCTCCTAACTTCAACAGCCTCTGGGATCTCCAGTCTTGCTCTGGCCCAGCCCTCCTAATGCCCACCATCCCGCTCCTCAGGGAAACAGTACTGGGTGTACCAGTTCCAGCACCAGCCCAGTCGGGAGGAATGCGAAGGCAGCTCCCTGTCAGCAGTGTTTGAGCAGTTTGCCATGATGCATCGGGACAGCTGGGAGGACATCTTTGAGCTTCTCTTCTGGGGCAGAGGCTCTGGTATGGAGAGAGGGCAAGTCTTGCTTCTCCTTCAAAAGGACTGGAACCCCTGGGTAGCGGTAGAGCCAGGCTGGCTGGAGGGGGTTGTTTGTGGAGCTATCGATCAAAGGCTGTTTGCTCAGGCTAGACTTTGCTTCTGTTGATCTTTTGGGGGATGCTCAGCTCCACCGGGACCCCACACCTTGGACTTTGTCTAGCACAGCTGGGGGCATAGCCAGCAGAGGGAGAGGCTATGGCTGAGGAGTTTAGGGGGCCTAGGGTTGAGACACCATGGAGGCAGCGCAGGGGGAAGGGCATTGGACGGAGAATCAAAGGCCTGGCTGCTGGGCTCTGCCATTAGCTGCTGTGTGTCTTTGGGCAAGGTGCAGCACATGAACTCTAATGGCCCTGCTGGAGGGGGCAAGACTCAGACCCCCAAGACCTCTTATTCACCCCTTCCCTGCCACAGCTGGTACCAGACAGCCCCAGTTCATCAGCCAGGAGTGGCACGGTGTGCCAGAACAAGTGGATGCAGCCATGGCTGGCCGCATCTACGTCTCAGGCATAGCACCCCGCCGCTCCTTGGCCAAGAAGCAAAAGTTTAACCATCGCAACCGCAAAGGCTACCATTCACGCCGAGACCGCAGCCGTGGCCACAAGCAGAACTCCCGCCGGCCATCCCGAGCTACCTGGCTGTCCTTATTCTCCAGTGATGAAAGTGACTTGGGAATCAGCTCTTACGATGGGATGGACTGGCTTGTGCCTGCCACCTGTGAACCCATCCAGAGTGTCTTCTTCTTCTCTGGAGGTAGGAGCCCCTGCCACCCGTGAAGCTGGCCTAGCTTGGGTCTTCCTTGTTGTCCCGGGTCCACAGGGGCTGAATACAGGCTGCAGGTAGTGATCACAGAAAGCCAGGCCAGAAGTCCTTAGCTGCGTGGTGGATATTTACTTTTCCTTCTGGAAGAGACCCTAGACTTTCTTCTCAAACAAAGAGTGGGCAGGACCTGGCTGGGCCTCACACACCCTCTGCGTTCTTCTCTTCCAGACAAGTACTACCGAGTCAACCTTCGCACACGGCGAGTGGACACTGTGGACCCTCCCTACCCACGCTCCATCGCTGAGTACTGGCTGGGCTGCCCAGCTTCTGCCCGTCTGTAGGAGTCAGAGCCCACACGGCTGGGCCCTCTGTAGCTCCCTCCTCTAATCTCCTTCCCCCAGCCCAATAAAGGTCCCTTAGCCATGAGTTTAAGACTACTGTCCTGACTGGGGTGGCCACTTCCCTGCCTGGGTAAAGGAGAGGAAGCCAGGCTGTCAGAATGGGTTGGCGAGGGGGACAGAGAAGGGCCTCGCTGTGTCCAATCCATGTTGGGCTCAGGACCTGTGAACTGAAGTTTGGGGCTAGAGAGGGCCTCCTGAGAGCTACCCTTCCTCTTGAGTGAAGCAGCCCCCAGTAACCCACCAGCAGCTAAGCAGGCACTTGAACCCTTCTGATGATGACAGAGTTACCAGGCTACCCTCCCTGGGTGAGGCTTTCTTTGCCCCTTGGAATTGACTAGGGTCTTGGAGGAGAGAGAACGGGCAATAGGTCGTGGGGATCTAGCTCAGCTTTTTTGTCCATGCTGATCTGAAATCACAGTAGCTCAGGCTCCTGAGCACTTGGGGAACCAGTCACCGTGCTTCCCCAAACCCACCCCTAGGGTGAGCCTTTCCTGAAGTCTCTGTCTAGGGTCTGGGATGGGGAGCAGCAAGACCAGGAGAGATAGCAAAGGGCAGAAGCTGAAGGGAAATTCAAAAGCACACACTTCTCGTAGAAAAGTGGCCCAGATGCCCAGGAGTTTGAGGCTGCAGTGAGCTATGACTGTGCCATTGCACTCCAACCTGGGCAGTAGAGTGAGACTCTGTCTCTAAAAGCAGAACAAAACACACACCAAAAAATGTGGAAATTTTTGGTTGGGCATTGTAGTTCATGCCTGTAATTCTAGCACCTTGGGAAGCCAAGGTGGAAGGATCGTTGGAGCCCAGAAGTTTGAGACCAGCCTGGGCAATATAGCAAGACACCATCTCTACAAAAAATAAGTTAGCTGGGCATCGTGGTGCGTGCCTGCAGTCCCAGCTACTTAGGAGGCTGAGGTGGGAGGATCGCTTGAGCTTGGGAGGTTGAGGCTGCAGTGAGCAGATATCACAACACTGCACTCCAGCCTGGGTGACAGAGAAAAATAAAATTAAAAAAAATTTCAAAATTAGAAAAGAAAAAGTGGCTCAGAAGATGTCCAGGGAAGAGAATACTATACAAATAAACATCTTTATCATCTTTCTTAGAACCCCTCAACTGCATCTGCGGAACCTCTTCTGGTTCCAGATTCAGAATCCCAAGAAGTCCATCTGCCTCTTGAGGGGCCAGAGGGAGAAAGGGTTAGATGCGGGCAAAGCTCTAAAGCAGACCTAAGGGCAATCTGGTGGTGACATCTGTTCCCCAGTCCTGCCGACAGGAGGTGGCTCCCACTCATCCCGTTGTCACTCCACGATCCTTCTCATCCTGGCCTGCTTCACCAGCTCAGTCCCCAGTTGTGGGAGAGGACTCCACCCCCTCTCCCCTGAAGGCAATCAGGTCCAGAGCACTGAGGGCTCCAGATGGGACAGCCAGTGCCCTGGGAGAACTGGAGAGATGGTTTTCTTTGGCTTCCTGGAAGGAGCCCTGGGAGGATCCTTATGAAGTATACTATTTCAGGTACAGACTGCCAGAGTTTGAGGTTTGAGGAGGAAGGCTGGGTCCAGTTTCCTCTGTGAGGCTCTGGAGGGGCAGGGGCTACACAATTTGCCCCGCCTGTATCCTCATAAGCCCAACTCGGCCTCCGGCCTCCCTTCTTTCCCCTGAGACTTCTCTGCCTTGCTTGAACTTCTCCCCTCCTGGAGGCAGGGACAGCCACCCTGAGCAGGATACAACCCAAATGGAGGAGTCTGGTGTGGGCACTGCCCTGGCATGGCCCTTTGGCTCCTTACCCTCTGCCAGCGCCATGGCCAGCCCTATGGATGCATCCCCAGCAGGTGATCTGATGGGGGAAGTGTGAGCAGTGTGAGGACATAGGGCACCGTGGGATGAGGGAAGGCTGAAGAGGGGTGGGAGTAGGGACGGACTTCAGGGTTAGTTGACGGTTTTGAGGCTGGGTGGAGGCTCTTGCAGGGAATCCCGGCTTGATCCCCTGCAGGTGGTGCCAGCAGGTTGGGTCCCCACCAGAGAAAGTGGACCGCCTTCAGCAAAGGGCAACTGCTGGAGGTGGAGAGGGTGTTTTCAGCATGGCCCTACTCTGACATCAGTACCTGTGAGCACCTGGCCCGGGTCAATCATCTTCCTGAGGCCAAGATACAGATGAGCTATGACCACTTATAATACAGCCAACTTCTGGGCTTGGCCCACAGCCCCTTTGCTGGGTAGCCTGCCTTCAGGTTGTTTCACCTCTCCCTGGCTGGATGGGATGCTGGGGCCAGAATAGACCCCTTCTTCTTTCCTAGCAGGTGTGGGTCCAGAACTGCTGGGCCAAAAGAATCAAGAACAGGAAGTCAGGAAGTCTAAGCCCCAGGACAGAGTCCCACCAGAGCTCCTGTTCTCTTCCAGACACTCTCCAGCTGCCCTGGGATCCCCAAAGGCCAGGCCTTCACCCTCCAGTGGCACACTTCAGCGCACCTCAGTGTGTTGACACACCTCCTGTCCAGCTCCTAGCTTGGGTCCACGGCAGGGCTGGGAAGGGGCTAAAGCTGTAGCCCCATAGGAACTGGCTGGGGCTTCAGCGGTCCACCCTTCTTTAGAGCAAGCTACTCCCCAGACGTCACTAGGCAGCCTGTCTGACCTCATCTATGCCTCAGCCATTGCCACCAATGTGGACCACTCCTGGTCTTGGTCTAGAACTTGCAAGACCCCTCCTCAGACTCCTGTAGCCCACCCTGCCCCTCCTAGGATTGAACACACTGGAAGTGGATCCCCTGCCTCCACCTTTTATGCAAAGGAGTTCCCTATGGGAAGGGAGTTTAGCTCAGGCATCCTCCCTTACACAGGCCTCCAGGCCAGCCTAGATGCAGGTCCTATGCAGACTGGGGTCTGACTCCTGCCACCCCACACCCTGGCCCCTCTGGGGCATATGCCCATCGTTGTGGCAGGAGGTACCTTCAGAAGGATGAGGTGAGAGCTGTTTTCCTCCACTCATCAGGCCTTGTCCCCAGTTCCTTCTCACCATCTGATGACCTCCTCCCTCTGAAGGGGCAGCCTCCTGTCTCCTGAGGTCTCTCCAGGCCATTACCTTGCTAACTGCTAGGTGAGCTAGGAGAGGAGAGTGTTGCTCCTAATCTAGACTGCTGGAGAGAGCCACCTTCTTATGGGTCAGGGCCCCCTCTCCCGACTGCCGACCACCTGGACAAATTAATCAGAACTATGAATCTGAAGAGGGAGTGACATTAAAGTAATAAAGCAAAGATAGGAGGCTGGGGCTTACGTTGATTTAATTTTCACAAAGATCAGATTGGTTGCCCTCTGCCGTGGGGCTGGGAGACAACCTGACAGATCTGAGATGCAGGCAAGTGTAGCGGCATTGGGTTTTGGTATCACCATCATCTGTAATACCAACTAATCTCCAAATAAAACCCGAACTCTGTAACTTAATCTGGATTGTTGTGCTCTGCAAATGAATGGGGCCAAGGGCCATTTGCCATGGCAATTCATCTCCATCACCTAATCCCTAAATAGGGCCAGGTTCCACACAGATGCTTGGTGGGAGGTATTACCTAAGCTTCTGCTGGGATTAGAGGGATAGTTGATTGAAGGGCTTAGGGCTCTGACTGACAGGCCCCGGGGAGATGAGAGCCTCTGCTGGCACCCCCTGCTCCTGGTCCTACTGAGTCTAGAACACTCTAGTTACTTCCACCTCTGGAGCTGCTCTGCTTGAGAGAGAAAACCATAGTGTTTGCAGTCTGTACTGTATTCAAATCCTGACTCTGCTATGTAACCATGGCAACTCTGGAACTCCATGTGACTAAAAAAAGGGGATATTTGTTTGCTCTGTTTGAGGTATAAGAAATAATGTAGGTAAAGGCCTTTACATGGTGCGTAACATATTGCAAAAAACCCAGTAAACGCCAGTTCCCACTCCAGACAGGCCCTAAGAAACTGAGGAGGCCCCAAACTTCTTGTTCTTCCTGCCTCCTGCCAAGCAGTCCCTGGACCCAGAGTGCACCAGAGAAAGCAAGGCATAGCGAGGCAGGACTGGCTACATGAGAGATCCCCGCTTCTACATGCTGAGGACAGGGCATTTGATTCACCGCCCCCCTTTTCTTTTGAGACAAGGTCTCACTCTGTCATCCAGGGAGACTCAGCTTACTGCCAACTCTGCCTCCCGGGCTCAAGTGATCCTCCCACCTTAGCCGCCTGAGCAGCTGGGACTATAGGCATGCGCCACCATGCCAGCTCATTTTTGCTTTTTGTAGAGATGGGCTTTTGCCACATTGCCCAGGCTGGTCTCAAACTCCTAAGCTCAAGCCATCCTTCTGCTTTGGTCTCCCAAAGTGCTGGGATTACAGGCATGCATCACCAGGCCTGGCTAATTGTTTTCTATTTTTAGTAGAGATGGGGTTTCATTACGTTGGCCATGCTGGTCTTCAACTCCTAACCTCAAGTGATCTGCCCACCTCAGCCTCCCAAAATGCTAGGATACAGGCATGAGCTACCTCACCTGGCCCAGTATAACTTTTTTTTGTTTTGTTTTGAGATGGAGTCTCGCTGTCACCCAGGCTGGAGTGCAGTGGGGCAATGTCGGCTCACTGCAACCTCCGCCTCCTGGGTTCAGGCCATTCTCCTGCCTCAGCTTCCTGAGTAGCTGGAATTAGAGGTGTACCACCATGCACGGCTAATTTTTGTATTTTAGTAGAGACAGTGTTTCACCATGTTGGTCAGGCTGGTCTCAAACTCCTGATCTTATGATCCAGCCACTTCGGCCTTTCAAAGTGCTGGGATTATAGGCATAAGCCACAGTGCCCGGCCTCAATGTAGCTTTTTAACACAAATTTTATACAGCTCAGGTTACTGGAAACACTGTAAAATGCCACGTACTTTTTCTTCGCGCAGCTGACACTTTTCCCAACTAACAGAAACTCAAAAACATTGTAGAGGAAATGTCTACTGAGTTAATGAGTATATAATTTATTAAAACAGAAAAGTGCTTTGGAAAAGTAAAAAAGATGACAGGAGTACATACAATGATCAAAAGAGTGAGTCTACCATGATGAGCAGACCCCGAACAGTTAGAACTATGGAAATGGTTGTGCTTTGTTGTCACAGGAGTTAAAATAAGAATCCCTTGGATACAACAAATATTTATTGGATAAATAACTAAGGTGGACATCCTTTTCAGTGCATTATACAGATTCTATCATCACACCACTAAGTTCTCAGAAGTTAAACATTACAAGACTTCAGGAAAACATAGGTGTCTTTGGCTCCATGTAAAAGAGGAAGGACCACTGGTCAGTTGATCTCTATGAGTCTGTCTTATCTTCTGGAAAAGGGGCCTAATACCATTTCCTTTTCCAAAAAGGTAGCTGCCTTGCTTCCAGTTCCACCATCCTATAGCAACCCATCTTTCTTTTATTTGATGTCTGTCCTCTGATCAGTTCCTCTTCCAGCAGAAACTGGAGAAAGGGGATCCTTTCTGTTTTCCTGGAGGCTTCTGAACTCAATTACAGGTCTGCATTAAAAACATCTGGAGAAAGCTGGTGATCAGTTTGTACATATGGACAAGTTCAAGGCAGTACGGTCTACTTCTGGCAAGGCCTGGATTCCATTGCTCCTGATGGAAAAACCCTATTCCCAGCAGTGTCTAGAATGGACTGGAGAAGGCAGGTGGGTACCGGATTCAGGAAAAGGTACTGAGAGACCAAGATCAGTTTTTTCTGTTTTAAAGATGTATTATCTCAATCTCCTCCACTGCTCCCTTTGGAAATTCACAGAAGACTGGGCTCCCCACAGAAACAGGAGGTGGCCTGGGCTGGTCCTCTGACTAACTGGAGCTGAGTACAAAAAGTCTGAGGGGTTGAGTTGGCAACTGGGAATTGGGAACCTGGAGCCCCCAGAGTCTTCTCCAGGCTTGATGATGAAGCACCAGTTACAGTTCTCCCAGCTCGCCTTCCATTGCCCGCACCATGACATACAGCTCGGCCAGACCCACCACTGAGGCGACGATCAATGCAGCCAGCACCCGCTGGAGGTGGGCAGAACCAAGATTAAGGGATGCAGGCCAACACCCAGCTCTGTACCCCCAGCACCTTTAATGAGGATGGAGAGCCCCCTATCTCCCTCTAAGCTGGGGGAAGGGAAGATAATGTGGCTTCTTCTGGGGTTATTACCTACCCCCTGCACCCCCATGACTGCTGGAAAGCTCCAAAGCTCCCCTTGTTAACAGCATAAATATCTGTTCAATACCTAACCTGTACAAGGCACTTCACATAGGTTCTCCCTTACCCACTAACACCCCTACCTAGGGCACCCTGCACTGCCCAGTGCCTACTCACCGAGGCCATTTCTGTGAAGATATATTGGCTTCCAAGGTAGGTGCAGACGAAGGCAGCTACCACCGTGACAATGAAATTGAAGATGGTAATGACCAGAGCCTTCAATGATCTCACTTTGGGGAGGAGCCAGAGAGGAAACCTTTAGTTCAACATTCTCTGGGAGGTGCTCTTATCTCATGGCTGCCACCCCTACCAACTGGGTTCCAGCCAAACAGCAAGCCTGAGTGTCATAACCCATCTCAGGAAAAGGCTTAAGAAGCCTGATCTCTCAGTACCTCACCTTGCTTCCCCAGGTCGCTGAGAGTCCCACCATGCCTTGAATCCTGAGAAAAAGAAAAAGCAGATGATTTCAGAATAGAAGCAGCTCAGAGAGCATCCATTTGTCAGTCTGGGCTCAGCCCTCTCTATTGCCCAATACATTAACTCTGCCTTCTCCATGGATTCTTTTGTCTCGAACCATTTTGACTCTTTTCTGGACCACAGAGCAAACATTTCAGAGAGAAGACATAGGCTGCCATTACCCATCTACTCCTCTCCTGTTCCAGAGTAGGAGCATGCCAGAGAATAGTAGGGAGTCCTGTCAGAAGAAAGGCTCCAATGGCCGGGTGTAGTGGCTCACCTTGTAATCCCAGCACTTTGTGGGGCCAAGGCGGGTGGATCACCTGAGGTTGGGAGTTCAAAACCAGCCTGGCCAACATGGTGAAACACTATCTCTACTAAAAATTAAACAACTAGCCTGGCGTAGTGGCACATGCCTGTAATCCCAGCTACTCAGGAGGATGAGCCACGAGAATCACTTAAACCCGGGAGATGGAGTTTGCAGTGAGCAGATAAGCCGCCACTGCCCTCCAGCCTGGGTGACAGAGTGAGACTCCATCTGGAAAAGAGAAGAAGAAAGAAGAAGAAAGGAGAAGGGAGAAGAAGAAGAAGAAGAAGAGGAAGAAGAAGAAAGAAGAAGAAGAAAGAAGAAGAAGGAAGAAGAAAGAAGAAGAAGAGAGAAGAAGAAAGAAGAAAGGAAGGAGGGAGGAGGGAGGAGGAGGGAGGAGGGAGGAGGAGGGAGGAGGGAGGAGGAGGAGGAGGAAGAGGAAGAGGAAGAAGAAGAAGAAAGCTCCAAGACTCATTCCCACTTTTTTTTTTGAGACGGAGTCTCACTCTTCTTGCCCAGGCTGGAGTGCAAGGGTGCAGTGTCGGCTCACTGCAACCCCTGCCTCCCGGGTTCATGCAATTCTCCTACCTTGGCCTCCCTAGTAGCTGAGATTACAGGTGACTGCCATCACGCCAGGTTAATTTTTGTATTTTTAGTAGAGACAAGGTTTCATCATATTGGTCAGGCTGGTCACAAACACCTGACTTTAGATGATCCACCCACCTCAGCCTCCCAACGTACTGGGATTACAGGTGTTAGCCACTGCGCCCAGCTGACTCATTCCCACTTCTTCTTCTTCTTTTTTTTTTTTTAGAGACAGGGTTTCACTATGTTGGTCAGGATGGTCTCGATCTCTTGACCTGGTGATCTGCCCGCCTTGGCCTCCCAAAATGCTGGGAT